GGGGGGCCTAGTGGAGGCCAACCTGACACAAAATTGAATTATTTCAAATTATTGTTCATTATTGGGCACCGAGCAAGCCGTTCACCTTTTTTTAGTATTCAAAACTTTTATTTTAGCTTTAGGTTTTTACAAATCGACTCAACACTTTTTCGGCTGTGATTTCCTGGGGAGGGCACCAGGTTCCCTGGGAGGGGCCGTGCCCACCCAGGCTCCCCTCGCTACGCCCATGGTCCAGAATATTCGTTTTTGGAAAGCTTCTTTTTTTTTCGAAGGGATGCCTTCGGGACTTTTGTGATAGTGATGGATGTGAAGGATGTTTCCAGACAATGTCACTTTTCCGGTTACTCGACCTGAAGAGGGAAGAAATCTTTATTCGCCTGTATACATAAGCGTGAAGGACTTCGATATGAAAATGGATGCTTCTTTCGTTTCCGCTTCCTTCCCCCTTTTTTCTCCCCTTTACGATGGATGTTTTCTTCAAACTTTCCTCTTGCTCCTTCCAAAAATACTTTTAAAGACATAAACGAGAAGGTGTTAAGTTTGAAGATTATCCTGATAATCCTTACTTATCACGTGGCTTATAGTTATCTCCATCCGGTTTTAACTGGATTAAAATGAAAGAGCCGCTTTGTCTCCAGGTTGAGAAAACTGAAAATACAAAAGAATTTGAAGTATTAATTGATTATATTCTGACAGATTTAATTTCATTATCGTTATTATTATCTAATTACAATATCTTGATAAGTTTCGTATCGTTGAAGGAAGAATTTATCAATTTCCTGTTATCGATGGAGCTTGTAAGTCTTAACAGTTTCGGGAATGGTTTATAGCCCGTAGGAGAAAAGAACAAGATAGGATTCATTAGTAAAATAATTGCGAAGAAATGACAAGTAGAAAAAATGATATTGTCGAGTTAATGAAGTTTACAAAATGAATATTTGAGCGGCGAAAATCAATAATTACAGGAAAGACCCAAATCAGACATTAATTATGCAAACGAAATTGGTCGATGGGCCTAGCAAGAGGGCGGAGTGTCCGACATCTGGTGCCAACTGTCGGAAGACCATTCAACTTCATCCAGATGTCAGTAGCATTCGTTTCCTATCTATGGAAGCCATCTTTGCATCTAACAATTTCCTGTGTTCGTTTACTTGGATTACTTATTCGTAGGAAAAAAGTCTTATCGCTATCATGAAAGGGTTATAATTCATATTGTAAGAGAGTTTTCTGAAAGCCTTCAAAGCGAAAGAAAAAACTGCCTTAAAACAAGAAAATTTAATATATTTCGTTACTACGAAAGGCCCCTTTATGTTTAAAAGCGAAGAAATTGACTCATTGGAGTAGTATTTTAATATGAAATTGGAATAAATTACTTTAAATTTATTTATTATTATGATCTATAAGCACTCTTTAAACTTAACCTCCCCTCCATCTTGTTTCGAAACGGAGTAATTAATCAATAACAATGGCGGGCATCNTACCATAAAAAATACTGAGATGTGCAAACTTTATTTAAAGAAACAAATACGACTGTCTGTATAAAAATACAAAATGATAAATCCTTTTCACTGTTAAAACTAATCGATATACCTATTAATAAAACCATTTGAGGTAGGAATGTAAGAAAGGATAGCCATTTATGATTTTCGTCATCTAACAAATATAAAAGATAAAAAAATGGAGAAAAATTATGTCTTATATCTTTACGAGTCAAATGATAAAGAAAAGCAGCATCAATGTACTCCATTTTGTACATTTTAAAAGCAAGAAAAGTAGGCAATATAAATGTAATAGCAGCAGCACTTGCAAATGAAAAATGCTTTTTGTTTGGTACCAAATATAAAATCTTTTTCATATTGGATTTATTTGATTTTTCACTCAATCTTAAATATATAGAGAGAGCATATATAATTGGGTAGAGTTTGAAATGCACAGAAAATCCGTATACTAAGCCAGCATAGAATATTTTGTTATTATGTAAAAGTTGTATTGTTAAAAGTATGAGACAAGACATAATAGATTCAGCATTTCCACGAGTTGATACCACTGCAGGCAATGGATTATAAAGCCACAGCAAAGCACAGCAGAGTGATGATAAGTCATTCAATCTTTTTTTTGAAATTTTGTAGATCAGATAACCAGTATTAACATCAAAAACTGAAAACAATATTTTCCCCCATAATTGATGTAAGTAAATATTAGGTGTTAATAAATAGGCTAGAAATGGTGTATAACGATAAGTGTGTCTTTTAAATGGAGAACTTCCATTTACAACAAATGATGCACCATCGGTGAAAACATGATAATCAACATCTGTAAATTTAACTTCAAAATATTGATCTTGCCATTCTCCATAAAACAGCAACATTAAACGAAACATTAAAGCAAGAATAAAATGTTGAAATGGAGATATCTGTTGAATAATATCAATTCTCTGGAAAAGTGTTTCTTGCTTTTTATTCTTCATATTAAATACTTATGAAAATTTTCAGCCTCTGAAAATAAAAAATTTCTTATGAAAAGCAAAAATATATAAAATTTGTAATTTATATTTATATAAACAAAACTTTAAACAACATTTATAAGAAAATCGATTTAATTATTACATTATGATTATTTTCATATACAATAGTATAATACTATATTAATAGTACAGATAAACATCTATCCAGGGGCTTTTTTCCAGCATTGGTTAAATTAACTAAGTTGTGGATTGCAGCAGACTTGTACCAGATATTACATTGCTGGTTTCAGATAACAATGTATCCATATGTACCCATGTCACTGCTATCTGAAACCAGCAGATGTCACACAGTGATTTGAGTGGCTTAACGTAATGTTAAATTTACAGCATGACAAAATATAACTCCTTCAGCCATTTTATGGATCAACAAGGCACTGTTTTCATGGAATGGGGTATTTAACACTGTATCACTGGGTAGAGTGTACCATACAATGTATGAGACATATGTAATACCAGGTGCATTTTACCCTAAATGTCTGGTGTGGAATTATTTTAACACTGTAACAAGCATACAAATTCAAGCCTTGCACAAATATATGCATGCACCACATGCATACATTTGTGAAAGGCTGAAAAGATCTCTTTCACCCCTGGATAGACATTTAAGTAAAAGAAATTTACATATTTTAATTCGTAAATAAAGCGGAAATATTTAAATTTCTAATTAAAAAATGAACTAAATTATAACGTTTCAATGTCATAAACAAGATAGAATTTACAACGTATCACTTACAACTGTTAATAATTTTGTTATTTCTGACGTAACTAACTATTTACATGTTACATTACTGGTGTTTTTTTCCAGGAAAAGTGCATGAATATGATCCCAAACGACTAAAATTCCTCGTGTTTTATATATATATATATTATTTTCCAATTAAACTGAGGGAAAAAGGGTGTCAACATGTGCCGAATGAGTAAGTATGATTGGCGCATGTGTTGGGAAGAGTGATGTGATTGGCACCGACGTGTATGTAATATCGATTGTGTTCCGTTATAAGGTCCGTACACCGAAGGGGTGGAGTGAAGCATAGAAGAGATGAAAAGCTTTCCGCGAAATCACTTCCCTCTTTCTTGTTATCGAAAAAAAAAAAAGTTTTTTCCAGAGTTTTTATCAATTTATACCCCCCTTAAAAATTCCGTATATATATAAATATATGCTGTGTTATAAACTTCTAAATGATAATTTAGCTTAATAAATTTAATTATTATTTACCTGGCATGTGAGGGGTATGAGACATTTTAACACGGATATATTTGATGTATTTTTTAAGGCTGATGAGAGGAGTTGTTAAGTGATAAAATTACTTTATGTTTATGCTTCTAACACAATAAAGTGCTATAAATTAAGACACTTGGCGGGTTGTCTCATCTTTATTTAGTTGATACGTGTGAAAAAATTTACACGTTTTCCATGTTTTTACGTATAAATTTACGTAATTCCGTGTACATGCGAAAATAAAAAGTTTTATATAGGTGAAACTAAACGTAAAGTTAAGGTAAGATTGAAAGAACATATAGCCGATTTGAAATATCGTAGACTAAATTCTGCTTTTCATGAACACTGCCTTTTAAACAGATTTATGAGTAGAAGGAATAATCAATTGTATACCAATTTGATAATTATTGTCCAATGTATGTTTTAGATCAAGGATTTTATAGAACTGTTTTATAAGTAAAAGGTACAATCAATTGTGTACAACTTTAATAACAGCCGTACTCAAGGTATGCCTTAATAGAAGATAGTTTTATAGATTCTGTAAAACTGATGTATAGTTTGTATATATGTCGTATACTCCCCTAATATTATAGTTGGCTAAAAGGAAAAAATATTGTGAACAAGCTGATGTTACTGGAAAATATCGGGAGTAGCTGTTACTTCAATTTTTAAAAAAAC